ATAATTTCACAGCGGATAAATTTTTAAGGTTAAATATATATAGAAAAATTTATATTTAATATATAAGAGTTGATATATATGATAATATAATTAATTTAAAGTTTAAATATAAATAATATATTATAATTACATAATAATAATTGCGAGACAATTTAAATGAAAAAATATTTAAGGGTCTATCCATTGTGAGAAAAAATCAGTATCACAATGTACTAGAAAAAATTATGCCCACATCATTTTTGAAATCCATTATATTCTACTTCTCATTATTGAGTAATGTAATTCAAATATATGATTCATGTATCGTCTAGTTTGTACATATATATAGTGTAAATGGTTGGAACAAGAAAGGAAAAGACTAATGGAAAGGTGGTAAGAGTGGTGAAGCTGGTGACTCATCACATGGAAAAAATCAATGTCAAACTAAATATGATAAAGTTGACGATTAAACAATCCATCTTTAAGATATTGGAAAAAGAAGTTTGATAAGATGAAAATCAAGTGTTACAATTGCCTAAATTGGGGGCATTTTGCAAAAGTGGCAAAGGAGAAAAGGGAAAATCTAATGTTTATGATTAGCTTCTTCACAAGCAATGTGTCAAATTTTATAATTAGAGTCACTGTTTGAAAAGTTAAAAATTGAGTACAAGAAACCAATACAATTGTTTGTTGACAACAAGTCATCTATAAGCTTGGCCAAGAATTTAATTGCACATGAAGAAGTAAGTATATAGAGACTAACTTTCATTTCTTGAGAGACCAAGTGAGCAAGGGTAAATTGGAGTTGGTTTATTGTTGTACTAAGTTATATAGGTTACATATGTTTTTACTAAACCACTAAAGGCAGATAAATTCAAGGAGTTAAGGGGGATGCTAGGAGTTGTGTCTTTAGAACATTTGAATTAAAGGGGAGAGTTGAGTAGTGTAATTCAAATATATAGTCTATATGCATAGTTTGCGTGTTTAGTTAGTACATACAAAGTGCACATGTAGTTTTATGGTATAATCTGTAGGTATCGTCTATATACCTTAGTCTATCAATGTTAAATATTTGTATCATCTGTCAATGTACTCTATAAATACGTGTTTGTATTATTATTCATTAATAATAAGGAATGAGTAATCATATATAATACACAAGTGTGAGAAAAAGGTTTTTCTCTACTTAATTTTCACTCCCTATGTTATGAATGTGTGCGTTTATATGTATCTCATCCCCAACACTCAACCAATGCTGTGAAGTCAATTATGATACTCATTTTTTACTTCTTTAATCTAACGAGAAGCAATTATATGCACACGCTAGGAGATATGAGTGCCTTTCCCACGTTAGTATTCATTAGTACAATACTTCAAACTTACAAAACTTGTTATACCTCATGAGTGTAGTATACAAGGATGTAAAAAAAATGTATCTATGTATATCCGCGAAAAAAATCTACTATAAGTAGAAAATAAATATTATAAATGAGTATTCACAGATAACAAATGCAATATTTTTTATACCTGCATGTTGGTAGGACAAGTACGGATATCATAATATATATACATGTGGGTACCCACTAATATTCAATTACATAATTACATATTAAATTTATTTAAACTTATAAAAAGAAAATACTTTAACAATTAAATTTAATGTTTAAATTGAAGAGTCTTGATTAATAAAATTATGTATAATAATTCAAAATTTGACTTTTAAACTATTATTTTTTAAAAAAATTATTAGAATAAATATTAATTATTATTAAAATATTTTTAAATTTTTATTTATTTTATTTTAAAATAAATATCTATAAATGCTTATTTAACAGATATTCATAAATTAAATATTTATCCGGTAATGAGTAAAAAATTACTATTCATATCCATCCCACCTTTTTGAGTGTTAACATTCTTAGTTGTGTATGACCAGCAACGGGCCTTCTTAGGGACCGAGGGAGGCACGGCTCTCCCAAATTTTTCTAATTTATATATATATATATATATATATATATATTATTTTTATACGTATGTTTATTTTGAGTTAAAAAAAAAATTATATTATTTTTTTAATTAATAAAATATTTATATATAAAAAATATTAATTTGACACCTCTAAATATTTTATCCAAGTTCCGTCATTGTGTATGACTAGGGATGGCAATGGGGCCTCATGGGGGCGAGTACTAGTAAACCCGCCCCCGCCCCGTTGAATAAAAATTGGCCCCATACTCACCCCATATTCGCGCGGGTATCCATGAATTTCTTAAATACCCACGGATATCCATGAATATTTATAAATTTTTTAAGAAATTAAAAAAAATTATATTACAAATAATTTTAAGTTTATATTTAATGTCATTGAAATATTAAAAATAAAAATTTAATGTTAATTTTGAACTTGTATTTATCGTTAATTTTGTTGAAATAATAATAAAAATACAAGATAATCAATAACTTAAAATATATCAATCTCACAAATAAGTTAATGTCTCATCACAAAGCTACAATAATTCAATCTCATAATTCCAAATAAAAGTAAACAACTTAAAATACATAAATTTTATTGGTCCAATCAAAGATAGAAAATTAATCAAATTACATCCAACATAATTCTATAACATGCTTAACACATGTTGGCAACTTCATCAACCTCACTTTTGTAAGAAAATAATATGAGAGAGTGTAGTTTTAAGGTTATGTGATACAAGGATAATTATGATATTTAAGAAATATTATTAAACGGGTGCCCGCGGGTATGGATATCATCATACCCGCCCCCGCCCCGTTTATAAACGGGTAAAAATTTATCCGTTCTCATTATCCACAGGTACCCAATTAACCTATCTATTTATTATCCATAGCAGATTTTACCTACAAATATTTGCCGGTACAAGTATTTTTGTCATCCCTGACTTACTCTTTCATGCTAGAAGGACTCGTATCTACCAAATAATTTATCAGTCAGGTTTTTAAGTTTTTAAGACTATGAAATATAATCTTTGTCCCAAAAAAAGAAATAAGACTATAGTTTATAATATTTGCGTAGCAATAACAGGTGGTACGCAAAAAACGAAACTGGGCATGCAAACCAACGAAACGAAACCATCAATATTTTTCTGTGGTTTGGGCCGTTTCGCTGAAAGGTCAAAGGTTATCCAACACTAATCCTTTCCTTTTTCTTTCTTTTCCTTTCCTTTCCTTTCTCTAATCAAATGGAATGAGAGAATTTTTTAGATTATTTATTTATTTATTTTAATTTGTAATTATCACATGTATTTTTAAAATACTAATATTTATGTGTATAATTTCTAAAATAAATTATTTATATGTTCAAAAATATTTATTATATAAATTTTGAACTAATATAATTTATAAATTAGAATATATAATATTTATTTATGTGTATAATTTATTATAAAAATTATTTTATATAATAAATATTAACTTATGTCACTCACAAACTAAAATACTAATATATATCCTCAATTATGACATTATAAACTAGATTTTAGGTGCATGAATGGATCTCTAGACATCTTTCTCTATGTATGTAACCATATAGGCTCTAATTTATTTGGGAATAATATTATATATATTAAGATAATTTTTTACAACACTTATTTTACCACTCTCTCTATTATTAATTAAAAAAATAATAAATTTTAGTGAATTTTATCATTAAACTAAGAGATAAACTCATTAAAAGAGATATGAGATCTATAAAATTTATATTTTTTTAATAAATTTTAACCAATAAAAATGATAATGTTAAAAAAAAGTGTCACTAGAATTATTTTAATATCAAATTTCTTAAACAATGATTAACATCTACCATCTTAATATGTGTTTGGTTTAGGAAATTCTTTGTCAATTAGGTCTATAATGTTGGGAATGAAAAAAAAAATTAACAAAGAATTTCCTAATCAAAACGAACACTTTAGTTGTACTTGATGCGGTTATATACTCTCTCTCCTAATGGAATTGATTACTACCGCTGTTTTCTAAATATATAATGTTATTTTCATCATTATATTCCAAAAAATATTATTTCCATAAATAAACTTCGATAGCTTGGAACATACATTCTCCTATATTCATGGATCCTTATCAATTCAATTAGATTCTTTTGATCGTATTTGTTTTTCCACCATAAGTTTTATAAAACTCTGGAACTTCCGAATTTTGAGTATTTTGTTTTCAAGCAACTCATAATTAATATTCATCGATATTTCATAGAAACAGTGTACTGTTATTTGTAGTAGCAGTCTTAATTTTTTTTTTTTTTTGTGTTGTTAAACATTGTTATGGAAACATAGGTTAAGTTAAAAAAAATTGGCTTTATTAAATGCTTTAAATTATTTTAAAAAACTAATTTATTTTTATATATATAATAAATATTTTTTTATTAAAATTTTAGTTTTATTTTTCTAATCAATGTTAACAATATTTATGTATTATTTGGATAGAAATCTTTGCGGATAATTATTTATAGAAGAAAATAAAATAAATTGATTTTTTTTCAAAAATTTAAATCAACTTATGCTATTTAAGTTTTAAGTTTTATAAAAGCCTTATCATTTAACTTATTGATTTTAACTTGTAATTTTTTTATTATTAATTTATTTTTATAAATATTTAGAACATATAGGAGTATAATGTTCTCCTATATAAATAATGTTCTTTTTTAATCTAAAATAGAGACGATGTAATACTCTTTTACTTAATGATTGGACGATATTAGAGACCGAGTAAAATTTTATCACAATTAATTGGGATAAATGAAAATTTAATCTTAATATTATTTAATTATAACAGCCAGGGTATCCAATGTGAAAAACTTTATCAACATGATTCGTTCTACTATAGTCAATGACTCAAGAAGGTAGATAAACATTTTTGTTAAGCCTTAATTTATTGTGTTGGAATAAGAATTTTTTTTTGTGGTTTTTTATTTATTTAAAAAAAGCATTATATTGGAACAAGCAATTTAATCACAATAAGTCACTAGTACCATGTAATAGTAATACTGGTAATTTAAATATTTATTTCTTTAGGATAATATACAACCAAACATAACCAAAGCACTGGGGTTACAAAACAACCAAACCAGAGTATTAGCACTCGAAATAGAAACCAGAAACACGCACAATTTCTCTCTCACTATTTTTTTTTCCTTTTCTGTTTTCTCACTCATAAATATAGATCACAAGAAAGAAAGAAAAAAAGGCACACCCCTCACTACTATGGTCTCATGCACCTGCAACAGACACGAAGAAAAAAAAACATCAGAACATATATATATATAGCAAATGTCAGTAATTATTTTGAAAATTCCTAATTCATATATCCATTTCTCATATTTCATTTTTTTAATGTTTTTTCTTTATCTTTTATCACTTACTTCTAAATATATGCCATTTTTTTTTGTTTTTATCTTCCTTTCTCTTCTTATGTCTGTGTACACTTCTCATTATCCGTTTTATAATAGACTATACTTGCAGAGGAGCAAAAATCGATTATCATAATATTCTCCAATATACCTGTCTAGAAAATAAAATTTCGACGAATAATCCCATGATTATAAGACAATTATAAAAAGTAAAAATTTAAATATAATATATGTCGGTATAAAATTAGGTTTTCATGTTAATAATATATGTATTAGTAAAATGAAACTTCTAATTGAAAAAATTCACACCATATATAAACTTTATTCTTATAAAAAAGTTGACATGTTAATTAAAACCAAGAACATAAATTTCGTAATTCACCATTCATCCAAGTCCTAAAGTAGAAAAACATAACAAGTCAAAACAAAAGTTAACCTTACCTTAAGATGATCTAATCACTGTCACTGCTGCTGCTGTCATGGCCATGGTCATGGCCATGTTCATCCTTCTTCTTCTCTTTCTTCTTCTTCTTCTTCTCACCCTCTCCCTCACCATGGATCTTGTCCTTGATCTTGTCTATGAACCCTTCTTTGTGCTCTTCACCATGGTGCTCTCCCTTGTGCTCTCCATACCCATGAGGCTGCTCCCCTTTGTGTTCACCATGATGCTCCCCACCATACCCATGATGTTCTCCTTTGAACTCACCATGTTCACCATGATGCTCTCCCTTGTATTCTCCACCATGGTGCTCCCCCTTGTGCTCATCCTCTTTCTTGTGCCCTCCCACATGAAGGGTCTCCCCAATCTTGTGAACGATCCCTGACATTTTTTTTCTCTCTTTCACTTAATCACCTAATTCTCTCTTGTTTGCTTGTTTTTGCTATGTATAATCTCAAGGGGTTGATGGTATTTATAGCCGAGAAATGGGGGAAAAAGTAGAAGCATGGTTGATTTGTTAGGAAAAAAATAATGTCATCCTTTGAGAAGAAATTACGGGAATCACCATGAGCGTGTTCTTTACGTGTCATCATTTATAATTACTTTGCTTTCAAAAATATACTATCTGATGCATCACATATAACATCTTAACTTTAAAATATTTGTAGCAATTATAATGTTATTATAATCTTTTTTATTTTTTTTATGTTTTATTGGTATTTTTTTCGTTATAGTTTCTATAAAATGAAAAATAATTATTCACTGGTGTGAAGGTTTCTGACCAGCTAGCTATTATGATCATTAATGAACCACATTTATCTGCAATTTCTTAAAGAGTTAAGAATAGCCACAAATTATAATTACGGTCAGTTGATCCACCCCTTTAGTGGTTTAGGTGAAATTTACTGTAATTTATTAATATAAAAAGTTAGAAAGAAAACCACTATATATATATATAATATTTAACAACGTAATTATTATTATTTTTTGCTTGGTAACAGTTTTAGAGGTGCGAGGCAATTCAAAATAATCTGAATCATGAATTAATTAGACAATGACCTGGTAGAGGTTTTTGGCTTAAAATAAAACAGGTGTCGAGTGGTTAAGTTTGAGACAATTGAGTTGTTAAAATTTGGGCATTTGGAACCTAATCATAGCTTTTTTGGCGCAGTACGGAACCTATTGAGAGAAGGAGACAATGCTTACGAATTCTTAAGACTTAAGACATGAAAATGTTTAAGTTGGGATATGACCATGTGTTATGCAAATCATGACAATGTCTGTCCAAAGAGTTAGGTCCATTTAATCGGATAAGGCATGCAAAGTTTTATAAAGCTAATTACCCAACATTAGATTCTACTTTGGGATATATAGTCTATTTTTGCTTCATATTTTATTTCCTCATTTCAAAAATCAAAGGGAAAAAGTGGGAAGGTATTGTATGAGGACATATTCTAGTCCAAATCCATAACATGATTTTTCTCCTTTGCTTATAGTCCCTCTTTAATTTAAAACAAAATAAATTAAAGTGTAAAGGATAAAAGAGTAAAGAAATTATTTTGAAAAATACTCTAAAGCATGATGAATCAAATATCAAATGGGGTAGCGTGAAATGAGGAGGGTGATCGACCGACCATTATGGGCCATAAATGAAAAATTTAAAAGAGGATAAGATGGGCCCATAAACAGGGCCCACTTTCCGTATCTGAAGTAAAGAAAGTATGAAAGAACGTGATTTCAGAACCCCTTTCTTTTTTGTTACCGACTTAAATTTAAAATATGATTAAAGGAAGGTGTGAGAACCACTCTTTTTATTTAATAAGATTTTTTTTAAAAAAAAAAGATAAAATATCTCATTATTTAACGTAATCATAAGTAATCGTTATTAAAATGATATATAATATATATTTTTGATATAAAAGAAAATAAATAATTTAAAAGAGGATTTATTTGATGACGCGTGGATGCATATAAACTTGCCGACACGCGGAGAACGGTAGAAGAAACACTGACACTGACACTGACAATATTTATTTACAATATTCGTTCGTTTAATTTATTTTTTTTGTGGCGGAAAAAAAAATATCATTATTATTTTCCACACGTAGCATATACGCCAATTTCTTCCTACACCTATCAAATTATTTATGAATTAATTAATTATATATTGTTAGTGTAAAATTTTACATTAATAATTAATTATATCTTTTAATAAATTAATCACTTATAATTTTTTTATACTAACAATTAATCATATCTTTTAATAGTAATATTTATTTATTTAATAAAATAATAATAAAATAAATAATTTTAAAAGATATGATTAGTTGTCAGTGTAAAAGTTTTTATACTAACAGTATATAAATAATTAATTCTTCTTTTTTAAGTATGTCTTATCACTATAAATATATTTATTTTCAACAGTAACATAACACAATTAATAGATATAATTAATTATCAATATAAAAAAACTTTAGATACGCTATATAAGTGATTAAATCATTTGCACCTATTTTTGAAAATGTCTACGCCACCCTTCCTTTTTTATTCACCTTGCTGCTATGGGTCTTCATGCCATCAAATCAATTCCAACTCACTAAAATCAAACAATTAAATTTGTTCGAATTTTTTTAGTTTAATTTAAATTAAATTCAATATTAATTAGTTCATATATGAATTTACATATTTAAAATTTTGAATAATCCAAATCAAATCAAATAATAAATATAATTTTATTTTTTTTATTTTTCTTTAGTTAACAACTATCATGTATGTATAGTTTTTTTAAAGATAATTTTGTGTTGCGGTATGTATATTTTTTCATTCATATTCTCAAATATTTAAAGGAATTAAATAAAAAATACTTAAAATAAAAAATATATATTTTATAGAAAGTCATAATATAGTCAAGGTCATAAAAAATACTAATTTTTAATAAAATCAATGGGTACTTTCGTCAAAATCATGATACTCAAAATAAAATACTTAAAAAAACCAAAAAAAAAATTATATTTCAATATATTAAATGTTATCTTCACATTTGAAATTATTAAATAAAAAAAAAGACAAGAGAAATTATACTGTAAATCTATCCATTTAATTAATTTTTAACAATATATAATTTTAGTTAATGTTAAAAATCTATTTTTTTAAAAAAATTTAAAAAATTTATTAAATATTTGATGACTCGAACCAAACCAACCTAACAACCATTGAATTAGTTCAGATAGGGTTAAACAAAAACTATGAAATCAAAATCAAACAAAACTATCGATCAAGACTCATACTTACTTCTTTCTATCTTTTTATTTATAAAATGCATTATTAGGAAGATGGAAACTTGTACAAAGATTGGATGAGAAAATTTAGAAAAAAATACTACATGAGAACTAAATTTATTGAATTAGAATATTGATATCAAAATATCAATATTTATATTTTATTATAATTTTTTTTTGGTAAATTAAGTTCAAAAGCCAACTAAGATTAGGACAAGCCTTCAACTAAATTCATAATCACTTGTACAATTTTTTTAAGGTTATCCACTAAAAATGATACTCTAACTAATAAAGTATAATCTCAATTTAAACTCTTATAAGATATAAATTGACTAAGATAGACATCAAAATTCATAATCACTTGCACAATTGTTTACGATTATCCACTAAAAGTGATACTTTAACTTATAAAGTATAATCTCGATTCCAACTCTCCTAAATTCTAAACTCTAAACCATTATTAGATCAAAAGACAATCTTAGACCCCTCAAACCTTAAGTTTTAATGATAGCAAATATAGACATTTTTATAGAAAAAGGTTTTCATATCAAATAATAAGACAAATTGTTATAAGACAATTCATTCAAACGATTAGTTATCTTGACGTTAAGTCTAACAAACGAAGCATTTGACTTGTAAGACATATGTTTTGAATATCATTTATAATGTCTGATAACTAAATCAATTTTTCTTCACATGGTTCCTTAATATATCAAATTAAAAAAGCTTTTTCATTACTCACAAATAAGAAAAGAACAAAAGACATGTTTTTGCATAAAAAAGGACAAGTAGATCTCATAAATTGTGAAAATCCTCAAAAAAAGTTGCTTTGATCTGACACACATGGTTCAACTCTTTTGGTACTAAAAGATGATAAGTAGCTTCCATGGCCAAATAAAAAGTAATAATTTGATGAAACGTATTTAATGTACCAATGGATGCTTCTCCCCACAATGAAGAAGATGAAAAAAGATAAAACAAGTTTGTGAGAGATGTCAAAAATTTACAACGGTCATATTCATGAAACACCTATATAAGAAAGCTTAAAGGTTCAAAAAGTAGTGAGAACACACATTGTAAAAATTATATTCATTCTTTCTATTAATAAGTCTTGTACTTATTTGGTTGTATCATGTCTTGATAGTAAGATGAAACATTATCTTACCCAGCTTTAACTTAGTGTCATTGCTTTGAGCTTGAAGCGGCTTAACTATAAAAAAATACCTAATTTTTTGAAGCTTAGAGAGACTATATATAACAAATAATTAAGTAGTTGCTTGAAGATACAAGTAAAAAAATACTTAGATTGAGTCAAAAGTGACTTATAAAAAAATACTTGTATCTTTATAAAAGATAGTAAAACTTGATTAGATTGATTAAAGGACGTAGTCTTAGTGGTTAAGATAAACTAGTATAAAATATCTCTTCATCTACACTCCTAAAATTACGATACTACTTGGTTATTTTGAAAAAAATGTGAATTTTTAATTGACATTAGTTAACCTTCCTTCTAGTATCTCTCTTTTCTCCATAGTTTGATATTAAAGCTCAACCTTTGACGAGATTGAACATCTAATAATCATGCTAAAGAAAAATATCCTAATATATAAAGTAGTAAGGGTCAATACCTACCTAAAGGACAAGTTCTCCAACCTTTAATGAGAAAGACTACCCATATTGGAAGGACAAGGTGGAGATGTTCATCAAGTCCACCTAACATCAGCTTGAAAAATCATCATAGAAGCTGATTTTGAAGTTAAAAAAGCAAAGAATGAGTACATGCAAGATAACTACAATACTCTACAACTCAACACCAAAGTAAGATACACCTTGACTTCCTCTTTATCTAGAACAAAATACAAAAAATTATGTAGCTACAAAATTGCTAAAGAAATGTGGAAAGAACTCATGAGGGTGCTGAAGATGTTAGGCTCGGATGAAATATTACTATTTAAAGACACTATAAGTTATTATCTATGAAGAAAAACCAAATTATTGATGAAATATTTGAAAGATCCCAAACTATTCTTAATGGGTTAAAATCCTAGGAACTAAGTTTTTCAAAGCTCCGGATAATCTTAAAATTTTGGATAGTCTCCCAAAGGCCTAAGAACCAAAGACTACTACTATATCAAAGGCTCATGATCTCAAAATTCTTACTCTAGATTAATTTTTAAGAGTCC